AAATGTCTCCGTGCCTCATAATTGTTCATAAAATTTTCTGTAAATTAGGAGGATCACATTAGAAACAAAAAGAAATGATTGGACTGCAGTTGTAATCAGGGAGCATTTCTTGTACTTTAAGTTGAGGTGTTTTCTGCTTTCCTGAAATAATTTCCAGAAAATGCTGTTGTGCACTAGCACCGATGAAAATATGTTTTGTCTTCAGGGAGACTGGAAATAAAGGCTTTCAGTCTATAGTTCTTACACAGGGAAAATCAGTTATGATTTGAGGTGTGGAATAAAAGCAAAGGAGGCAATGAATGCCATTTTATATGGGTGTGCAGTAATAAAAATAATATCACTAGAGAAATACAGCGTATTTATAAACAGTTGGAAGGTAATTGGCAATGTTTCAAGGAAGATCTTTAATATGTTATTTAATCATACTTATGCTTTGGCAGTTAACACAAACAAGGTAAGAGCTAAAAGCTGGCTATCAGGATGACCAGCTATGAAGAGAAAAAGCAAAAATTGGAATATATGATAGGAAATGTTATATGGCACAGTTCAGATATGAAACCAAATTTTCATTTAGGCTGCAGTTTGAGGCCAGTTAATGAGGAAGAGCAGAGCAGAGAAGTTCATTTCTCTCTTTGCTCTAAGTGTAATGATTTTAAATGAAATGTTCAGGTTTGTCTTCACATCTCTCTTGAAGCCTACAGCAATTTCAGTTATCCAGACTGCTAGACAACTGGTATCATAGTCTGTATTTCATTACTTGAGTAAAAGTGAAGTATTTCATTGGGGTTTCAAATGCATTAATAAAGAATTAGCTATACAAATATGATTTTACAAAAGGGTCATTGTGCTGAACAGAAATAGTTTTAGGATTTCTTAATGGGACACTTGGTTGAGCCCAGAAACACTGAGATCAAACAATAGTTGCCCTTGGGAAAGTGATGCGGAAGTAAAGGAAATGCGTTCCTTGTCTGTTTACCATCCCCACCAACCACCCCAAAGAAAATTATATCATTTCAAAAATATTTAAATAGTCACTTGGAAGCAATAAAGTCATCAATAACACGGACATGATTATCAATTTCCAAACTCGGAGCTGCCCCTGCAGCAAATTTCTGTAGGCCATTTATGCCTCTACCTCACCCCAGTGTTCTTTAGGTATTTCTAATAAAAGAGTAGCAAAAAGAAAGGACCTTAAAGGTCTACCTTCCTTCTTACGGAAGAAGCTGGCATCCCTCTGTAACTAACT